TGGCTCCTCACCTCAGGCTGGGATGCAGGCATCAGGGGTTGCTGGAAGCAGGCCCGCCTCCTCCTTTAAGAGTGGAGGGAAGGCCCTCCCAGTGCTGGGCCTCCATGGGCAGGAGGGCGTGCCATCCCTACCAGCCCAGCGCCTCCCTCCCAGCCTGCCGTGTTTGGGTGGACGACTCTTGGTCCTTATACCATAAACACCAATTTGCAGGGCCCTGAGAGCCAAATGACTGTTTACTGTGTGCTCCAGAGACTCAAATAAAAAAAGAGAGAGGGAGAGAGAAAGAGAAAGACGTGATTGAGGAGCCAGCCTGGATCTAAACATCAATTAGCACCTTCTGACTAGCTTCTGTCCCAGCTGCCAGGCCAGGCAGTGGTGGCTCCCAGGCTGGGGCCCTCCCCAGGGCTTCCCCAGTGCCCTGGGCACCCCCCTTCGTCCTGGCATCTGTAGGGACGGACTTCTCAGTAGTATAGGATGCCTAAGGGGCCCAGACTGAGGATGTCAGAGCCATAGAAACAGCACCACATGCTCACCTCCTCTTGGGAGCCCTCCCAGATGACCCAGAAGATATAGAAGGGGCCATCACCCAAATCTCTGGGGCCAAGGTGAGGGAGTAAGGGGGGGTGAGGGGTGTGGCAGGTGGGAGTACCCTCTGTTAGCTGCTTCCCGTCCCCCTACTTTATGGTGGGAGAGGGAGGGAGAAAATGGGGTAGTTTTGCCTTCATAAACTCACACTGGGGAGAGAGACCTCACCCAGTAGGTCTCAGTTTACCTGTCAGTGCCTATGAACAGAAGGGCTGGCAGCACTCCCACCCCTGCAGGGATGCTGTCTCATTCCTCCAAGCCTTGGACATCACCCTGGGAGGTTGCCTGCAGGGACAACTTCAAGCCTCAAGTCCAGCTTCAGTCTGTTCAGTCCAGACTGAAGCTGGACTTGAGGCTGGAGGCTGGAGGGCAGTGTGGGCGGGTAAGGTGTCCTGTTCCTGCTCAGGCCAGGAGGCCAAGGGGCTGCTGGAGAGGAAGCTGCTGACTGCCAGGATGCCTTGTCCTTGGGTGTCCCAACCAGAGGGTTTCACGAAGGGACACAGGTTTCTAACAGGGAAATGAGTCACAGGCAAAAGTGCCAAGCAGCTTGGGGAGGGACAGGGGGCTGGGGTGGGGGTAGGCCCCTGAAGGGGAAAGCTGAGGGATTGGGGCAACCCCAGGCCATCAGGCCAGACCCCAGGATGGGCTGTGTCATGTCCCCCAGACCAGACCCTCAGGACAGGGGCAAAGGCCTGGCCAGCAGGACCTTAAAGCCCATCCAGCCCAGGCTCTGCTGTAGGCAGTGTGGGCCGTCACTGTGTGGGACCAGGGAACCCGGCCAGGGGTCCTCAGCCCTTTGTACCAGGCTTGGTGATCCAGAGCTGGCCCTGCACCTGTTGCTCTGGGGGTCCCAGCCCTGGAGGTTCTGGCCCAGCACGGGGTGCTTCAGAGCTTTCTTGAAGTGTGTGGAAACTGAGGTCCTAGGACCCAGAAAGTGGGAGTATGGTGAGGAGGGGGGAGGGGAGGGCCTGTGGGGGCCCCAGGAGGAGGGGGCTGGCCACACACCCTCCAGGACTTCAAAGCTGCTGCCCTGGGGGTGTGAGATTTGCAGGGGGCTGGGCCAAGGGGGGCCCTGGTGGGGTGAGGCCCTACTACCTCCGGGCCTTTAATATGGTTATTCCTCTCCTATCTCAACTACCTGTGAACAGGCCCACCAGGCCCATTTCCTCCTTCTTCAGGGCTGGCGGGAGGGGCTGTAAACTCCCTGGAGAGGTGCTTCTGAGGCCCAGGCTGGCTGCCCTGTGTTCTGCCCTCCCTCTGAGTTGAGGGTAAAGGGCAGGGGCTGAGGGGCTGGGCCAGGGTTCATGGGGACATGCTGATCTTGGCAGGTGAGGGGGGCCAGCTGGGCTCTAGAGGGGGCTCCGGATAGATCCCACATCAGCAAAAGGCAGGAGCAGAGAGGCCCTGGGGAGCCCCCTCATCCCACTTCCTCTGGCACTAGAGGGAAACTGAGGCCCCGGGTGGGGCTTGCTCCTGGCCAGCAGAGAGTTGAGAGTTTTGCCTCCTCATTCACACAGGCTCTTGCTAGCTCCCCTCGCCCATTTACTGGAGCCTGTCCTGTGGATCCATGGGCCTCTTCTGGTGGGGTTCTGCCCCTCTCTGTCCTGGAGCCGTGGCGATGGGTAGTGGGAGCCTGGTGCCTCACCTGGTAGAGAGCTGAGACCAGGTAGGCAGAACCTACCTCTGCATCAGCTCCCAGGGTAGCTCCTTTTTGTTTCTGGGTATCTGGCTCTGCTCCCTTAGGAGGCCCGGCTCTGTCCCTGCTTCCTCTCTTGGCATCTCACCCTTGTGACCTTGTGGCTATGCCTCCACCCCCTGCCCAACCTGTCTCCCCTACCCTTTCATCTGAGGAGCCCCTGGCACCTGGTTCCCAGCAGGTACCACTTAGGGCAACTCCTGCCCGTACCCTAACTTAGAGGTGCCGCACCATTTGTACTGTCCGTGCACTGTGGATGTGGCCCATAGGCAGCTCGAGTGGGGCACCTGTCACCCCCCACCTCCAGGGCTGAACCCCTGTGTGGAGTGTCTGACCTGGCTCTACTGCCTGGTGGGCTGTGAGGGCTTGCGGGTCCTCCCGGCTGGTGACTCACACCCGTGGGTGAGATTGGCCACCTGCACTCCAGTCTCGGACACTGTCCTGTGTGCTTAATCACTGTCTCCCTCTTTATAGAGTGTCTGCCTGCAGTCTGTCTGGACCCAGCCAACCCCTTGGGGCCCCATTTGGGAATTGCTGGTGGTCAGCTACAGTCCCAGAACAGTGGGTGACCTGGCCTGAAATGGGCCTGGTGGTGGGGGAGCAGTGAGCCCCGAGCCAACAAGGCCATGGGCTTGGGGCGGGACGTTGGTGTGCCAGCCCGGGAAGCTGATGCGTGATTTGGAGTGTGAAAGCAGGGGCTTTGGGGTCCAGAGCCCTGCGTCTGTCTCTAGTCCCTTAGCCTCACTGGGCCTCTTCTGGCTCTGTCTTCAGTAGCTTGGATCCTCCAGCAAAGACCACTGTGGCCAGTAAAGTGGTGGGGTTGGTGTTCCCTGAGTCCTGTCTTGAGGGATGAAGCCATGTTTCCTTCTCTCCTCCCTCCCTCCCTCCCTTGATGGGTTCCCACTCCATCCATCAGGCAGCTCCCCATACCCTACCACAGCTCTCTCCCAGTGCAGGGCTCTGTGTGGAATGGACATCCTTGCCCACGATGGGTCTGCACAGCCTTGTCCAGGACCCCTGCCCAGCCAGCCACGACTCTCTGTTGGCAGAGGGTGGCCCTTCATTCCCTACTCTCAAGGACACCATGTGGCCCTGATGTCTAGCCACGGAGCCAGCTGAATTGGGTTTCCCTCCCTCTGCTTTCAGCAGGCACGGGCCTCCCAATTACGAGGCTCCTGTCTGTTCCCAGCCCCCTCCCTTCCAGCATATGGCTCATGCAGGGTGGCTATGCTGGGCCTGACCTTTGAGTGGGTGGGACTAGGCCTCCTCCCCTCAGCTCCAGCATCATCTCCCCCCGGCCCCCACCTGTCCTAGCCTGTCCCTCCTCAGCTTTCTCCCTCCTTGTGGGTCTGGCTGGATATCAAGGCAGCGTTCAGAGGTGGTGGTAGTAGTGGGGAGAGGGGCATGGAAGGACGCAGAGAGAAGCAAGGACCCTGCTCCTGGCTTGGAGAGATGAAGGTGTGGCCTTGAGAAAGCCACTCCTTCACCCCCTGGCTCCTGCAGCTTAAGTTTTCAGAGGCCCACCCAGCTCTGCATACCCCAGATACCCTGGATGGATGGATGTAGGCAATAGCCATGGAGGGACAACGTGAGGCTTCTGCCAACAGAATGCCTCGTTTGTCCTTGAGGCTGTCCCTGTCTGCCTTGGAAAGATGCCCATCCCAAGGCTCTGAGCATGATGCCAGGATTTGGCCAACCATACATTGAGAGACTGCTGACCTCTGCCAAGACTTGCATTCCTGAGCTATGCCTTATGGTGGAGGGGAAGCCAGGGGTCCAGCGTCAGCTCTAGCCTCTGGCCTGAGGATGGACAGAGGCAGGAGGGAGCCCCTGGGAGTTCTTGGGTTCATGCAGCAGCTCTCTGCCCGTGAGGGATGTCCCTCATGACCTCCCAACTGGATTCCAGCTGCATGAGCTGGACTTCTAAAGTGGCTTTTGCAGGAGGTAGAAGGAGGCCAGGCCCAGAGAGAAGCGGCTGCCTGATTTCCAGGCTTCAGGCTGGTGAGCCTCAAATTGAGGGAACATGTCCGTCCTCCCAGCCAGACTGGGCTCCTAGAATGCCCCTGGTGGGCTGAGAAGGGGACCCCACACAGGGGCCATGTCCCCAAGCCCAGGGAGCATGGCCACGTAGCTGGTGCTCAAATGTCAACTGAATGAAGCATGTTGTGGATGTCTGGGGAAGTGGCTTTCAGCTGACTTGGTGGATGTCCTGCTGTACCACTGACTTGCATGGGGTCTCCCCCCTGGGGCTGCCATGGTCCCCTGCTCACTGCACTGTACATCCCCTGCAACAGGCAGGCCTCCTTTTCCCTTTCTCTGCACTTCCACTGGGGTCTTCTGCCCTGGTCTCTAGTCTACCCCGCCCCAGACTTTAAGACCACTGGCTGCTTCCTCCTTTCTTTGGAGTGGCCATCCTTCTTCCTTCCCCTGGAATTCTGGCTCTGGAGGCTATTACAGAGGCCCCAGGAGTCTCTGAGCTAAGCATGCCCACCCCACCTCCCATCGTGGCCCCTCCCAGAGGGTCACAACCAATCCAGGCCCCATGCCTTGCTGACCCACCACCAAAAATCCAGCACAATCCACAGGTTTGTTTTGTTGTTTCTTCTTTTCGTTTTTGTTTTTTGTTTGTTTGTTTTTACTTTCCCCATAGTTTGAAACTCACAAGCTATGACTAAAATAATTTCTTTCATAGAAAGAAAAAGAAAACAACAATAACACATCTGTTTGTCTAGTTCCTATGTATGGTGGATATAGCAGCATTGGAAATAAAATTAAAACCAAAAATGCAAAATTCAAGGCAGAGGAAGGTCGTATCCCTAGCGAGCCGTGCAGCTTGTCCTCCCCACCCCCCGCCCCAACTGTCTCTTCCCCCTGCCTGGAGGGTAGGGCCTCGGGGACAGGGGGCTGGGCAACATTTCACAGTGGCAGAGGCTGAGGAGGAGAGGTCTTGGCATGGCAGCACCTGGCAGGAAGCCCCTGTGGGCATTGGTTGAGAGGTCCATCAGTCTCGCTCATTCTCAGACAGGATGGATGAGTCAGACGTGAGCAGAGCCAAGTCAAGCGGCCAACCAGAGGCTCCACAACAGTGGCCAGTGGCGGGTAGGTCTGATGTACCATAGCCACAGCAGCAGGACCTGGGGGTCCGTCCTGGCTATGAGGGGCTGGGAAGGAGACCAGTCCTCTGGGGTCTTTGGGTCCTTTGTCTGCAGCACCAGTGTGGGATCACCCCCCGACTCCCAATCTCCCAAACAACCCAACCCAAAGTGAGCCTCCAAGGCAGGGTATGGAGCTGAGTACGACCTGGACAGCAGTACAGGCCAGTGGCTCCCTTCTTGCCTTCCGCTTACAAGGGGCTGCGAATGAGGGAGGTGGAGAGAGGTGCTAGGCCAAGAGGGAGGCAACAGCAAGACTGGAACAGCAGGTTTTGCTCCTCTTCTGTGGATGTGATGGGGTGCAAGTGGGAATGTGAAGACAGGGAGGAGGGAGAGCCAGGCGCAGGAGTTTCTGTCAGCTGCAAAGTAGAAGGCACAGCAGACCAGGCTGAGTGGCACCTTGCCGGGGCCTGGGTGTCTGCTGCCCAGCACAGGGCAGCCAGGACAGAGCCAGGCCTCGTGTTCCAGGCCCTGTCTCAGCCTACTGCCGTCAGGCCCTGTCTCCTTCACCCAAGCCCATGTGGTTCTTGTGGTTCTGCACAGCAAAGGCTCTCCCTGATAGGGTTCCTGGTTGAGAGCGTTGGCAGGTATCAGACTGAGGAAGGAGTGCCACAGGCCTCCAGGCACCTGAATCGTTGTAGGATGGGCCTCGTACCTTAGTGGGAAGGGTAAGGGGACAAGATGCCCCCCACAGGTTCTCCACAGCTCATTCTGCCAGGAGATACTGCTCTACACGACGAGGTCAGGTGGAGGGAAACATGTGGTCTTGGGAGGAAGGTAATGGCAGGCTAAATCCCCACCCCTGGAGCCCCGCCCCCAGAGAGGACCCCGCCACCCTCCAGGAGCCCCATCCCTGGAGTTTCACCCCAGGAAGGGCCCCACACCTGTCGGGAAGAACTCCATCCCACTCATGAGCCTCACCCCTGCCCTACCACGGAGGACCCCGCCACCCTCCAGGAGCTCCATCCCAGAGCCCCGCCCCATCCATGGAGGAGTCTCCCCGCTGCCACCGGGAGGACCCCCAGCCCGGTGCGGCGCCCACTACTTGCAGGTGTGCACGTCGTAGATGCGCGCGCACTCCTGGCAGCTCACGTAGCAGCACCAGTGGAAAACGCAGTGGCACTTCTCCCTGCGCCGCTCGGTGCGCGCGTTGTGGCCGCGACCGCAGCACAGCAGGTCGCAGCCATCTATGCCGTGCGAGCTCACGTTGCAGGTGCGGTCGCGCGTGCCGAAGGATCCCGTCTCGGGGTTGGGCTCACAGAAGTTGGGCGAGGCCTCGTAGTAGACCAGGTCGCGCTCTGTGGGCACCTTGAAGTAGGTGTAGCGTGGCCGCAGGGTCTCCACCCAGCCGCGCGACTCGCGGTGCTTCTCCACCACCATCTCCGAGGCGCTGTCATACTTGTCCTTGAGGAAGTCACCAATGGCACGGAAGTCGGGCTGCGACCACCAGCAGGTCTTCACCTCACAGCTGCCCGAGAGCCCATGGCACTTGCACTTGAGGTGCATGTGGCTGGCGATGGCCTGCAGGAGCGTGCGAGCGGGGGCGTCAGGGCAGGCCCTCAGTCTCCCCACCTCCCACGTAGGGTGGCTGTACTCCTTGCCTGTAGTCCCCCTCCGCTCACCTGGCAAACCCAGTCCCCCCACCTGCTCCATAAAGCTCCGGGACTCCCGGGTGGAGCAGGTGCCCTCTCCCAGCACCACCCTTCCGTGCGGTGCTACAGGTTCTTGTGCCATGTGGCTCCCCTGGTAGACCCAAGATCCCTGGAGGGCAGGGCCTGGGAGACCCCCTCCTGGGCTGGGTCTACTTCTAGGCCATCTATGTTGAGTGAAGGAAAGAAGGGCTGTAACATGTGATATGTAAGTGCCGGGGTGTAGGAGGGACGTCGTTCATTCTGACTGGGGAAACCCAAGACCTCCGTCTAGAGGAGATGTACATGGGATGGGTGGCAAGGCTAGGGGCTGACCTGAGCACGGATAATGGTAGTGGCTGGAGCAGGGTACCTTCAAGGCCCAGGAAGCTGGTTTTATCAGATTGTAGGGGAGTTGCTGAGGATTGTGTGTGTTTCTCCTGTGGGCATCCCAACGTCAGGTTGTCTTCCCTTCTCTCTTTGGGGGAAGGAGTGGGGCTGGGGGTGAAAGGTCCTGTGGCATAATCAGAACTAAGGCTGAACTGGCCACTATGATGGGCACTGGCCACATGTGAGGTCCTGAGATGCGGCTGGTGGTCCAAATTGAGAAGTGCTGTTAAGTGCAAACCACATGCTGGGTCATACTAAGTCCCCAGACTTCGTAAAAGAAGAGGATGTAAAATATCTCATTCAAAATTTTAATATTGATTGCATTATTGCAATAACATGTTGGCTATATTGGGTTAAATAAAATTCATTGTTAAAGCAAATTTCACCTGTTTCCTTTTAAAATGTAGCTACTAGAAATTGATAAATCTAAGGCTTCCTGTGGGCTCCGTGTCCAGATGCTGCCTCTACCCTGTCCCCCTCTGCCTGCTCTTTCTTCAACCCTTCCCTCTCATACTGGCACTTTTTAAGGAGTATCTGTAAATTACATTCCCCCACCGCACTCCAGTTCTGTCTAATCTCCATTCTCTTCTCTTTTGTGAGCAAGCTTTTCCAGAGAGGAGCTGCCACTTCCCATCTCTGCCTCCTCAGTCTCTTGTTTTAGTTCTACTTTTGATCAAAGTTATATATGCACATACTTTGAAAAGTCCAAGAGTTCCTAAGACCTATTAAGAAAAACAGGAGTTCTGACCCCACACTCTCATTCACAGCACTTTCCGGACCACTTGAGGCAGCACCTTGTACCTCTACACCTCTGATAAGATGCTTGTCTTGCTACTTCTTGATTTTTCAGTGTTTGGCATTGTCTATGGACCTCTCACCATGGAGGTCCCATGGGACCTCACTCCACAACTCTGATGCAACTTTTCCCAGCCCCCTTCCTACACTAAAATCTATAGCATAATTCCAGTTAGATCAAAATTTAGTGCTGACAGTGTTGGGGCTGTGGTAAATGTCATACTTAGTTGAGCCACGTGCCATGATAACTCTTCCTTTTCTACAAAACGTTTTGTTGTTGCTGTGGGTTTTTTTTTTGTTTGTTTGTTTGTTTTGTTTTGTTTTTGCAGTACTCGGGCCTCTCACTGTTGGGGCCTCTCCCATTGCGGAGCACAGGCTCCGGATGCGCAGGCCCAGCGGCCATGGCCCACGGGCGCAGCCGCTCCGCAGCACGTGGGATCCTCCCAGACTGGGGCACGAACCCGTGTCCCCTGCATTGGCAGGCGGACTCCCAACAACTGCGCCACCAGGGAAACCCCATGTTGTTGCTGTTTTTAATGTACTCATCACAGGTTCAGTCTCACTAACTCCTTTCGTTGTCTAAATAGTCTCTTCAAGACTTTCAAACACACCAGCTGATCTATGGATTTCATCTTCTTGGAGACGTCTTTTTCAAACGGCTTCTGGTAAATTTTGTGAAATGTGCATGTCTGAAAACAAATCTTTTCTACTTAAAGTTGAAAAGATGATTTAGCTGGATATAAAAGTCTTGGCTTAAAATATTTCCCCCTCTCAGGATTCTGAAAGCATTACTCTATTTTATTCTAGATTTCACTGTTGTTCTTAGAAACTCTGATGACATTTTGATTCCTGATCCTTTGCATGAAACCAAAGCGTTTTCTGGGAAGCTTGGAAGGCTTTTCTGTGTCACAGGCTGTGGATTTCACAGCAAATTTTGATGTGGGTCTTCCCCTTTCTTGTGCTAATCACTTACGGGGCCTGTTTTGTCTGAACTTCTGCTCTTCAGCCCTGGGAACCTTCTTGTCTTATTTCTTTACCAAATTCCTCATCTTCATGTTCATCATTGTCTTTCTTGGACAGATCCTCCATATTTTCTATTCTTTCCTATTTTCCATCTCCTTGTCTTTTTTTCTCTACTTTGTGGGAAGCGTGTCTCAACTATCTTCCAACCTTTTTGCTGAGAGTTTTGTTTTTGCTGTCCTATTTTTAATTCCTAAGAGCTTCTTTTTTCCCCTGAATGTTCTTTTAAATTAACATCCTGTTCCAATTTTATGGATTCAGTGTTTTATCTCTCCGGGGATACTGATGGTTTTTTGAAGTTTTCATCCCTTTATAATGTCTCTTTCCCATAAGTTTGAGTTTCTTTTTTCTTTATTTTGGTCTTTACCTTTGTGGTTGCTGGAGGCCTTCCTCAGATGTTCAGTGATCCTTGGCTGCCTGCTCATATTTGAAAGTGGGGCGCCAAAAATCTTGTTGGAACCTCCTGTACACGGGAGGGACTCATCTACTTGGGCCCTCACTGTAGAGTGATCTGGCCACGTTGCTTTTGGGGGAACCCCCACCTCAATATCTTCTAGTTTCTTCTCTTGGGATGGCCTGATTCTCAGGGGAGAATCTTCCATTTTCCTGCCTAGAGCATAATCAAGCTTCACTGTGGCACTAGGACATTAGGAAGACAAATGTGTATGTAGACAGACTACTTTCACTTGGGCAGCCTCACCCTCAGCAGTCCAGACGCCTTCTGCTCTACCCTTTTTAGGGAATAAGCCTCCAGACTTCGGCTGTGGTGATGGAGGGGTGCTGTCTGGATGCAAGAGGTTGGATAGAAGAGCTGGTACGTTAAAAAGTGCTTTTAAAATAGACTTCAAAATGAAAATGCAGCTAAGCATACACACTTTTTCCCCAGACCAGCAAATGACCAGTCTTTCTGTTTCCAGCCCCATATCTATCTCTACTTCTCAAGATATCTGATACTAGAAATTCCTTGGTTGGTTCTCAGAGCTCTCTACTGGCTTAAGATTCAGCTTTCTCGAGTGTACTAAGATATTGAGTGTTCATCTATCTGCTTTTTGCTTTCAAAATTTTGTTGCCATTGTCACCTTTTCTGTTTTCCATGTTCTCAATAGTCTATTTATGTATCTTAAAATTAATTCATTGTCCTTTTAGTGGAGTTCTAGGAGAATGCAGAGGAAAATATTTGTATTTTGTTTGTCATCTTTAACTGGAAACTCCCAGTCATTCTTCAGGTCTACAATTTCTATGGGATTCTTTCCCAGATCTTACATTTTAGCTTTGTGAACATAAGTAAGCATATTTTTTCTCATAATCTATGTCTAATAATTCCAGTATTTGAGTCTTGTTTCTGTTTTTTTGTTGTTGTTGTTGTTTTGTTTTGTTTTGCTGATTATCACTCATTTAACAGGTTATCTTTGATTATGTGTGGAACATTGTGTTTGAAAAGCTGTTTGTAGAAAAAAATTTCAGCCTAGCATAAGGTTATCATCCTCCAAAGAGGATTTATCTGCTTTCTCCAGGTACATGGGGATACCAGCAATTTGGGATTACCTTAATCCATTCAGTCTAGAGATTTTACTAGCCTGTACATGTGCATAAGGGCTTGCCTACTTCTGATCTTCCTTTACTCCTCGGGATCCCAGCCTAAACCGAGGAGTTTTTTCCTAGACATAGCACCTTTGGTGGGCCCCTTTTAGCTCTGTGAGGCTGCTGAAAATGCAGCTCAGCATACACACTTTTTTCCCAGACCAGCAAATGATCCCTGGACAGAAGCTGCCCCAGGCACCAGGTTCAGAGTTTTGTCTTCTCCTGGACTTTGGACGGCTAATTCCTCACTATATGGTTAGTTATTTGACATTAACAATTATTTTATGGAAGTGTAATATACATGCAAAAGTTTATATATCGTAAGCATGGAATATGACAAAATTTCATAAATTACCAGCCTCAGAACACCAGCTCCTCAGGAACTCCCACCATGCTCTGTTCCAGTTGTTACACTCTCCCCTCTCCAGGGCATATATTCTAACAGCATCTCCTTGATGACTAACGATATCGATCACCTTTTCACATATTTATTGGACATTTCTAGATTTTCTTCTGTGAAGTGGCTTTCCATTTTTCAGCCAACTTTTCTATTGGGTTATCAGTCTTTTTGTTCTTTTTATACTATAACATTCATATACTTGTTGTGTGTATATATTGTGAACATCTCCTTCTGTGTGGATTGCCTTTTCAGTTTCATGGTGGTGCCTTTTTATAAATTTTAATATAGTCCACATTATTACATTTTTCTTTCATTGTGAGTGCTTCTTTGGCCTGTTTAGGAAATCTTTGCCTACTCCAAGGTCACAGAGATGTTCTTCTATGTTTTCTTCTAAACATTCTTTGTTTTATCTTTCCCATTTGGAAATGGGAAATTGATTTTTTATATGATGTGAGGTAGGGGTCAAGATTAATTTTTTTCCACATTGTTATCCAATTGACTGAGCACCATTTATGGAAAAGACCACTTCCCCCTCTGCTGCACTATCTTCCCTGTGATAAATCAGGTAACTTATACAGGTGAGTATTCTATACTTTTAAAGGGTACTTTTTACATTTCATCCTACATTTGTACCTGTCTTTAGCCAGAAGATTAATGTGAGTCACCTAGTTCCCTGTTGCTAGAAGTTAAGTGTTCACTCTTCAGCTCTCTGCAGTGCCCTGGTTCCACTGGCCAAGGCCAGGGCCAACTCTGCTGAACACTTTTCAGTCCCTACACATATCACTTCCTATCAGCAGTGCCCCACTGAACCTCTGACTAAGTTCACTAAGCCCCCTTTTCAGACGGGCTCACAAAGCCCTGTACAGCTTGGTCTCTGCCAGCCTTTCCATCCCCCAAATCTTTTTCTTCCTCTGTTCTCCATATTCTACCTGGACTAACTCACATGCATTCTTTCACCTCTGAGCTACCCAGAGGCTCTCCTGGTTTCCCTTCACCTAGATAACTGCCAATTATTCTGCTTGTCTCCACTCACCACCTCTGCGACAAGTCTTTTTTGAGAATCCAGCCTGGGTCTGACCTCTCCACTATGTCCAGATCACCTTGTGTGTGTGCATTTCTTCATCGTAGAACTTACCACACTGTGGTGTAGCAGCCTGGCTGTCTCCCTCCCTGGATGTGCAGGAGCTCCTGCAGGGCAGGCCTTTCTCCCATCCCTCCTTCCTTGTGACCCCAGCTGCACAGGTGGACCTGCCATACTGTGGGAATGCCCTAGACCTCGTGGAGCAACTGGACAGCCCTGTGTTTCAGACACCGCTGGGCAGGAGGTGAGCAGACCCCCAGCCTGGCCGCCATATACATCCCTCCCACAGCCCACCACCCTGCCTACACCATGCCATACTCCTCAAGGGACCAGGGCACATACCCTGCTCAGAAAGCTTCTATTTCCCAGGGACCCTCAGGGGTGTGGTCTCAGGGCTCTCGGTTCACAACCCAGGATGGGGGCGGGGGCCGCGGACGTACCTGGCGCCCAGCCTCATTGTTGTGGCGGTTCATGGCGGAGCGAGCGTCTGGTCGGTTCTCCCGCGCGTCTGCGAACTCCCGAGACACCATCCCTCCGAACTCGATGTCCTCACTGCAGCCGCCCCACTTCCAGCCCTCACCGGGCGAGCCCTGGTGGCGGCTGCTGCAGCCGCAGATGGCAGCGGAGCCCTCGGCGCACGAGCGTGTCACAGCGAAGGCTACGCCGGCGGAAGCGATGGCGTGCACAAAGGCGGACTCCCGGGTGGCTGCGGAAAGAGGCGACGTGGTTGGCAGGACCCGGCAGGGCTGAGGTGGTGGGACTGGCGTGGGGGCGTGGCTGCCTCTTCCCGGGCTGGGTCCTGGGTACTCACAGTGGGCGTGGGGTGCTAGACTCGCAGCACGGTAACCGCGGTACAGTAATGGGAGTCGGGGAGGCAGGGCTGCGGTGGGACAGGAGCGCGCGTCCCCGAGGGAGGACCCAAGGAGGAGGGAGAAAGAAAGTATACGGAGGGCTAAGGAGCCCAAGGCAAGATGCTGGACATAACTTGTCATGGAGAACAGCAATGACGGCTGAAATCAGAAAGTCAGATCATAACCAGTGCTGGTAAGGATGTGGAGAAATCAGAACGCTGTACACTGCTGGCTGGAAGGAAACTGGTGCTGCCCCTTGGAAATGGGTTTGGCAGCTTGTTGAAAACATACACCTACCCTATGACCTGGTCATTCACCTCTGAGGTATTTACCCTGGAGGAAACCTGTGTCCCTGCAAAGACCAGGAAGCAAATGTCACTGCAGCGTTATTTGTAATAGCCCCAAACTGGCAGCTCCAAAATGTCCATCAACAGGTGAATGGATGAAAAATTGTGGCATAAAATAAATAAGTCGTGGGTATGTGATGTACAGATGGTGACTAGAGTTAATAATATTGTATATTAGAAAGTTAAGAGCGTAGATCTTAAAAGTTCTCATCATAAGAAAAAATCTTGTAACTGTGTGGGGTAATAGATGTTAAACTAAACTTGTTGTTGTGATCGTTTCACAATATATACAAACATTGAATCATTATGCTGTACACCTAAACTAATATAATGTTGTATGTCAATTATATTTCAATTAAAAATTGTGGCACATCCATGAAATGGAATTCTATTTAGCATACCAGGAAAGAGAGCATGGATGAATCTCAAAGCAATCATGCGGATTGATTAAAAGGCATACAAAAAAGGGTCCTTCTAGTGTCCCACCAACCCTTGGTGGAGCCCCCGTGCCCAGATGTCCTGGTTGGAAGCTTCCCACAGCCCTGCCCAGGGCATGGCTCCTGGTCCACATGCTGCCCACTTGTGCCCCTTTTTCTGCCTGCACACCCTTCCCCTCTTCCACTCCGGACACCAGGTACTGAGAGGCCCAGCCGAAGTGCTGCCTCTTCTGGAACCTTCCGAAGGTCAGTGCCTCCATTGGCACCTCGCCTCCTGCTGGCCCCACGCGCTTGGGTCTGGAACTGAATGCCTGCCAGGAACCTCATCCAGGCTGTCTCTGACCTGGTATTGGAGCTGCCGCCTGCATGCAGCCTTCTCTTTCTACACATGGAGAAAATGAGTCAGGGGATGTGGCATCGGTTTTCAGAATGCCAGTGGGTGATGGCTGGAGCTTGGGAAGGAAAAGCCGGTGGGGCCGAACTGGGTGAGACAGGCATGTGAGGGAGTCAAGGGAGGCCTGCCTTGGCGAGGCCAGCTGCAGGGGGTCGCTGGGTGTGGGAGGCCTAGCCTGACCCTGGTAGACAGAAGCCTAAAGGAGCTGGTCTCAAAGGACAGGCAGGAAATCGACAGAGGAAAAGCAGGGGGCAGGGGTATTCTGCATGGGGAGGCCCACAAGGGCAGGGCCTCAGGTGGGGAGGGGTTGGGCTGGCAGGACCAGAGGGAAGTACAGGGCATGTGGGGGACAGCCTGGAATTTGCAGAGGCTGGACTTCCAGCCAGGCTTCCCCAGACAGGATGAATGAATGCATCATGCCTCCTGAGTGTGTGTAAACATTTCTTCAAGGGCACCAAGCCACGATCCACTCCAGGTGGAGGACAAGGGCCTGGGGGTGCCCTGGGTCCCGTGTGAGCTGGTAGGACTCTCTCCTGGACTCGCCATTCCACATGTGTGTGTGGGAGTAGCTGCTGTTTGCCAAGCCCTGCTGGAGAAACGTCAGGGAGCAAGATGACCTCGTGGAGCTTACCTGCTGATTAGCAGGAATTTTAAAATCCTAGGTTAAAAAAAATGCTATGGGCTGTGGAGTGAGCAGGAGAGATGTAGGAACAGGACCAACTAGGACCTTCTGTGCCAGACAAGGGGTGTGTGCCCTGCTGTGTCCCTGAGCTCCTCTTGGGCAGACGCCCCACTGCAGGCCTGGACACTGCTAGGGCTCCAAATGGCTACAGAAGAGTTATCAAAGGGGGCTGCTGTCTCCTCACCCCACATCAGTGCCCTGGAGGCAGGTGGCTTTCACCCTGGGGAGTGAGTAGAAGTTTTGGGTTGCTCCCCACACTTCCTCTAGCTGCATGGTCTCGCCTGCTCCCAGGTTTGCCTCTGAGCATGTGTGTCCCAAAGCTCAGGTGGCAGGGGCAGGAAAATGGTAAGATAGAGCTCCAGCCAGCAATGTGCACACACTCATCCACACATCTTCATACACACACCTGCCACTGAAAAGAGCACATTCACTCCTATACCAAGAACACACAGTGTGAGATGTGTCTGAGGAAGTGCCCTCTGCACGAGCCTCCCGATAGCTGTCAGGCCCCACCCTGCTTTTGGTGACTCTTTCTGTGGATTTGCCAACAGTTCTGGATGGTCCTCTGCAGGCCCCGGCCAACCTGTGTACTCTCCATGTTTTGCCCAGAGCAGGCCTGGACTCTTGCTGCTTTCTGGAAACTCCCAGGTGGTAAGCACCCAGCCACAAACCCAGAAAGGGACTCCCCATTTCTTCTCTGTCAGCCTCCCACTGACAGCTTGCTTGGGGACTGCCCAAGTCTGAAGGCTGCTCTGGCCTCCCGAAATGGCCCTGACCCATCCTGCCTCTCCTGGCTCTTCACCATGAGTCCAGCCCACAGTATCTCCCAGGTGCACCAGAAGAGGTTCCTAGTTGGGACAGGCACCTCCAGCTTCCAGCTTCCCCCACCCATCCACACACATGTAACACACACACACACACACTCTCTCTCTCTCTCTCACTCTCTCACCAATATATGTATGCACACACATCCACAGACACACAGACACACACGTAGGCACACACTCTTACACAGGTATGCACGCACATGCCCATACACACACTCACACATACTGTAGGAGGAGCGTTTTGTCCAGTGCCCATCTGGCTCTGCCCAGCCCTTCTCCAGTTCTTGCCACTGTGTCCTTGCTTGGCTCACACACAGGCTGACTCTGCCCCACCTTCTGCCCTCTCAGCCTTGTCCACCACTCCCTGGCCTCCAGCCACACTCAGCCCTCATCCTTCCCTTGGGTTCTTTCCAACTGCTTCTCTGCTCATGTGCATCTGTCATGTCCCCATCCCTGCTCTTTGAGGCACAGGCCAGGGTCCTGACCCTGCAGTCTGGGTTCGGTCCACGCCTGGCCCTGGAGCCCTCGGGCTCCCCAGGTGCTTCAGGAGCACCCTCTTACATCCATTCTGCCTGAAAGCTCCCTGAGCTGGGGGCTGTGTCCTGTTCACCTTTTGTTTCTAACCTGGAGTCCCAGCCCATCCCACAGATGGTTGTTGGGGAGTGAGAGCCTGGTCAGAGGAGAGGGCACGGGCCCTGGGCTGGGGCAGGGAGTCCAGGAGGGTCTGAGCCCACCTGGGCAGGACTACCCCATGGGACCTGGCTCTCTGCCCCTCTCTACTCAGCTTGTCCTTGAATGAATTCAAGACAGCTCCCCTCACTGCTCCCTTTCCCAAATGTCAGCCAGGCAGCTGCCTCCTCAAGACACTTGAAGCCCCTGCCCCGTTTTCCTTTTATAATACAACTGATTAGTTACAGGCCAGCCTAGAGTCACCTTCTGCTGACTCAAAGCACCATGAATAAACAACTGCATGGACACAGACCCCTTTCCTTCTTGTCCCTCCACTCAGAAGAGCCCCTGCCCTTATTTTGTCTTTTCAAGGACTCAGGTTGTCCCCCACCTCCAACTCCTTAGAGGGTGGGCTCTGATCCTCATTCTCACCCTTCCAGGGCCCTGGTGTGGTATCTGCCCTCCTGCCCAGGCAATGACCCTGGGTTAGGGGCTGTGAGCTGGTGGCCTGGGGGTTCCTTACCACCCCTCCCAGGGCAGGGTAGAGCCAGTATGTCCTGGGCATTCCCGGAACCCACTGCACACAACCGGGCGCCTCCTCCACTGCATCCTCTCTGGTGGCCCTTCTCAAGGCTCAGATTCTCCAAGCCTTGAATATGCTCCCCCAACTCCCTCTGACTCTGCCCCCTGAGGGCCCAGGGCTGGCTCCTATAGGAGGATCCTGCCTCTGTCTCTGCCTCTGCTCTGCCCCCTCCTCTAGCCCCTCCTTACCTCCCCTTCTCCAGCTTCTGAGATAAGGGGAGAGAAAGCAGGCCTGGGGCTTTGCTCTGCCCTGAACAGGGCTCGGAGATCTCTGCTTATCGAGCTCAGGTAAACAGTCCAGGGCTGCCAGACACACTTGAGGGGAAGGGTGTGGGGGGGGTTGGGAGGGGTGTTCCCCCTTGAACTTGGAAGAAAAAGAACTCATTCCTGCCCTGCTCTGTCACCAACTAGCTGTGTGACCCTGCACACTTCTCTTTCCTTTGGGGGCCTCAATTTCCTCTTCTGCTAAATGAAGAGAGGGCCTCCTCACAAATAAAGTCCCGAGGGCCAAGGACACCCTGGAGCCGGCCTTTAAATTGCTCATGAGGAAAAGAAGCCTTTACGAAGACCACAAGCCAGAAAAACTTGAGGTGGTCCATTCTGGCAAAGAAAGTCCCTTTTCAAATGGAAGACACAGGTCTTTAAGTAGTTCCCCGAGATACTGATCAATCGCAAAGGGAAAAACTGAAACTTTGCCTTGGAGAAATCTAAGACGGATGGATGCCACGTGCCTCCTAAGACGAGGCCCCCACCAGGACATTCCACCTCCTTTGAGACATTCTAACCGGAAGAATCGTAACTTGCATCTAATTATCAGGAAACGTTAAACAAACCAAACCCAAAGGCCTAACCAAGCTCCTCCCAGTCTCAAGGGCATGAAGGGCAGGGCTGGGCTGGGCTTAGGGACTTGGGATGGG